CTCAGACTGTTTATTTTCTAAACATTTTCTAACTGCTTTAGCCAGTATAGGGTCATGGAGGGGGGCTTTAAAGCAACAGTCGCAGGGCAGGGACACCAGTCCATTGCTGGACACACACACACACACACACACACACACACACACACACACACACACACACACACACACAGCAGAGCCAGTTTTCCCAGAAGCCTATTATGTAATTGGACTGTTTAAGAAAACCTGAGCACATAGAGGAAACCTATGCAAACACAGGGGTAACAGACAAACTCCACACAGACATCACACCAAGAATTGAGCTCTGAGCCCCAGCACTGTGGGACAGCAATGCTAAACGCTGTGCCACAATGCCTCCTCAGACTGTTTACCTCCCTGTACAGTACATATTCATTTTATATATTCAGTTTTGTGCCACGAATTTGCACCTTACTGTAAATCAGAAGACTTCTTGTTTATCAAAAAAAATCAGCACGACATTTCTTGGTAGTCTGCTTGGGGTTACAAACATCTTATGAATGCAAGATTCTGCCCAGCCCACAGCTTGGAAGTTGGAATAAAGTGATGGACTATAATACAGCAGAATAATATAAAAATATAGCAGAGATAAGAACAGCTGTACATCAGCCCACTACACGCCTAATCAGCCAAAGATTTCTTTCACCTTGGCAACTAGTTCTTGTTTGTTTTTCCTGCTCTGGTAGAAAATAATGCAAGAGTACAAGCAGCTCAAGAGAATGACCTGCCGTGTCGATGCCAAAGTGAATAACAGCACCAAGGATAAGCAGCAAAACGGGCGCTCAGGTGCAGTGCTTGGGGAAGTCAAAAAGTAAACCTGCTTTTCCCTCACAAGCTGTACGACACAAAGGGGCTTCATCCCATCTCATAGGTTAACACACAAGCAACGCCAAACAGATTCCAACAATTTTTACCAGTGGCTGTTTTTAACTTATTTTCTGACCTGCACTGGGTAACGCTTCAGGAAAGCAGTGAACTCAAGCAGTCTGTTTAACCTCAATTCAGGGACTTCTTACTTAAGAACTGACAGTAATTCACAAAATAACTTAGAGAATAAATTTGCATATCATTTTTTCAAAATGTGCTAATTGTAGGCAACTTGCATATGGGCCTTAGTGTTGGCTGATGAATTGCATATTAGCCTCTATAACTCCCGAGATAAAGGTTAACAGACAGGGATCCAAAAATTCAAATTGATCGCAAAAGACAAAAGCAATGCTACACTGCTTATTAATTTTAGTATCTAGTCAAATCAAGGCAAAGGGCCTCATTCATCAGACTTTTCCAACATGTGGAGAGAAACTACAGGATTTTAAACAGGAAAACCAAACACTCAACATACAACAGAAAGCTTTATGACAAAGAATAAGGCAGGCCACTCCATCATTCAGAATCACAGTAGTACACAGGAAAATGGTGATATATCGCTATCATGTCCAATTTTGAAAAGACACTAGCATCTCTGCCTCGACAGACTTGGAAATTTGTTGTATAAATTGATAATTGTTGGTTTAAAAAAGGGTTTTCTAATTGAAATTTGGGGCTCACATTTCTAGTTGTATCCTTGAGTTCATTCTGCTGCATGAGGCACCTTTGAGAAAAGACTTCAGGTACATTGTGTGCCTACTAATTATTTTTAAAATATTGCGTTCCATCTACAATTAATAGTTGCTAATGATTTACATCTTGATTCTCAGCACTCTATTGGGAGAAATCACTGTCTGAATGAGGAGTGGTATTCATGCTCCTCTGTTATGCCCGTATAACCATTTAAGATTAGCAAGCTTCACAGCTCCTGACAGGAGAGCTAATGCTGATTGGAGGACCGGCATGTCTCTTGGTGACATCACTGTAAGGCTGCAGATGCCCAGGAAGTTGCAGAAATCGTTTCCTCCAGAGCTCTTAAGGCCCCAGTGAATCCAAACCTTCACTCCTTCACCCAGCAACACTCAAGCAATTCTGCACTGCCTCTTGCACAATCATGGCCACACACAGCGGTTTTGTGTCCATTTTCAAGTTTTTAAATGTGTTGTTGTAATCAGTTCTTGGAATAATGCAAATTCCAAAAGCCCTCATTACATGAAGAGTCATTCTCAAAAGTCATCTGATAATTTCGGCAGTTTACAAATACAAAAAAAGGCAGAGCACATCGTCTAAATATAACATGAATATGACCTTACTGTAAGTCAAACATACCATAATTACAGCAAAATGTCCTGTCAGAAGACATTCAGGTTTATAATTCAAATGAGATTAAAAGAGGAACTGCAGTTCCAAATTCTCAACTCATTATTCAAATCACAGTAACAAAATAAATTAATTGACGATATCACAAAATGTTACAAATGCCGAATAAAGCCAAAAAAATCTTTACCTTTGTGCAAGAACTTCATGGGCTGTGTACCAAATGCCGCTGCACTTCAGTGACGTAGCGGAAGTGTGGACTTCAAGCGCGCGAGTCTTCCAGTGGCATCACGCGTGACATCACCCACTGGAGTGGATGCACGTCATAGGGCCAAAATACTTTCTGTTGCTGCTTTTCCAATGGCTAAGTACAGTATATCTCGGCAGACCATTTTAAAATATATAATTTTTCTATCTCCGCTCTCAGTTTGAGGAAATTGAATGTCCTCTTGTTTATCCCCGCACAAACACAGTGACGCATCGTGTGCATTCATCATGAGCTGCTCGACTCGAGAATGGGCGAAGGGAAACGTGGCGAGAATTCGCGTGACTTGAACCGCCCCTTCCTGCTCCCCGGTTGCTGTAGCGATTGATGTAATGCGATGTACATACAAGTAAATAAATACAGGTAGTGCAGCAGACGTTTCACAACAGAACTGTTCCAACCTGATCTGCATTCTGGAGTTAAGAGATCTCTCTTTAGCTCACTGGGCTGGGTCCCTGTTGAGTGACGCGGGAGTCCCGGGTTTGAGCCCCCGGCGGTGGGGGGCCGACCTAATGTTAAATTCAGTTCAATGGCACTCATTCGAATCCGTAGTCTATTTAAAGTATCTGGAAAAAAAAACGTGTCGCCTTGTATGTGTCGGTTTCATAACACTAAACATGAATGCCTCATCAATGCCGATTCTTTCTAACCCCGAAGTATAAAGGTAGTGTTGCAGTTCCCCCTTTAAAACGTTAGTTCGAACCACAGAGCAGCATTACAGTACTAAAAAAAGTATTTAGCCAAAAGCAACTTGTTTAATTTCTCTTTCCTTACCGAGTATTATTTATCTTTACACTCCTTACCTAGATAGAGTATTTGGACATAGGTTTGTTACATGGATGAGTGTCTAAACAATAAAAGGCAAGTACACTTTAAGAGGAATATTGACATAAGAGAACAATACAAAGCAAAACCAGTATCCCAGAACAATATCCTGACTTCAGCACCCGAGATGAAACATGCCACAGCCTTGCTAACAGACTTTCAACCAACTGGTAAGAGTTGAGAGAAGCCAGTAAGTTATTTCAGCTGTAAAATGTGAACCTTGTTTCTGATCTTTACTAGTTTCCAGCAGCTGCGTTGTCAGGTTTTGTTGCCTTTCTGTAATGCAGTTCTCAAATCACGAGAGATACTCTTTTTTCACCCGCAGAGTGTTTGATGTTGCAAAGCTGTTATGTATTTTTCTGACCTGAGCATCATGGCACAGCATCTTAACATGACCCCACACTTGACACCCAATTCATAGGGGTTTTGTGTCCCATATGTCACATCTTTAACCACACCCTTACCACAAACACAAATGTTATCTCTAATTCGCAGAGAGCAATCGCAAATTGTGCATTTATCATTATCCATCCATTTACTAACTGCTTCACCCAAGGTAGGGTCACAGGGTTACTGTGTCCTGGAGCCGCTCCTAGCAAGTGACCCCACAAGGTTTAGTACACCCTGGGTGGAACCAGACTGTCGCAGGGCACACAGACCGATATGCTCACACTCACACCAGGGCCAGTTTTCCCAGAAACCAACCAGCCCACCAACATGTCTCTGACTGTGGGAGGAAACCAGACCACTTGGAGATGTAGAGAGAGCACCCCAGGGCCCTAACCACTGCACCATCCTGCAGCCCGTTCACAATTACTGCTTCTTCAAATAAAGTGCAAGGAAGACTTTCAGTGTGAAAGGAAGAAATTAACAGATGATCAAACAGTGGGCAGTGCTGTATTTTGCGTTCCTTACATATCCTTGAAGAGCAGCAAGAGACGTTTTCATCAAGCTGACACAACATGTGCAAGCCACAGGACATTTCCCAAAACTAAACAATTACCTAGGGAGCTCTTTGCCCACAGGAGTCTGCACCGCCGTGCAGCACGAAGTCTAACTCGAGCTTCCACATCAAGCTGTCTTCAAGAATTGTTTTTATGAATTATACAGGAGCTAAAACCCAAGGTATACAAAGGGGTTAAACTAGACAGCCTTTACAGGAAGGAGATGAACTGAACAACGAGATTCAATCACAAAAAGGCAAGTTTTAGATTGCTGACTATTCACAACATGCCTGAAGAAACCTTTGAAAGATGTATACTGTACCACACAAACCAGACACTTATGCCTATAAAAATACAGGCACAAGCATATCTCATTTGTACTTGTATTTGTAAATTACCCACTGTACAGCCAGAGAGCATTTTCTTTTTTTCCCCACTTTCTTCGTTTCCATTCAGACTTCTCCACCCGCACTTGCTTGACCAAAATTACTCATTTGGTCCAAAATGACTTAAGAGTTTTACCTATTAGTACAGCCAGAGATTTCCACAGAGACAATCAGAGTTAAGGATCTTGCTCACAGGTGGAACAGCAGAAGGAAACCCAGGATCTGAACCCCCAACCTCCCAGTGACAAGTCCAGAATCCTAGGTAACCCATAATACAGCCACTTAAGTCATGAGCCTTAAATCCAATGCCAGCATGTTTCATGGCTGCATTTATCACCCGGCCCCCCGTGACCTCTGCAGGTGTAAACCCCCTGGTTTTACCTGTGTCTTGGCGGAACTGATGCATAGACTGCAGGTCTATGATGTAGGGGACCAGCTGGGGGTCCACTTGTCCCAGCACCACTGTGCCCCGGGAGTCGCTCTTCAGCACGTTCTCGATGTGGTGGCACACGGCGGCGCTGTAGGGCCTCCAGCGCCCGTGCTCGTTCAGCCACTCCCACACCACCACCCGCGCCAGGTTCTGGGGAGCGTACCCCAGTCCGTTCACGGGGATCATCAGAGCGGAGCCGGGGCGCGCCATCTCCCCGGGTCTGTCGACCTCGCCCTCCCGGCCCGTAGACGCCCCCTGAGAGCACCCGACCCAACGAGTCCAGCGGCTTCACTCGGGTTATTCCACCAGAGTCTTGGGATCAGTCAGGATCTCATCGTACGCCACCTGAGCACGATCTCTATAGCATGGTCCATGTGTTTAACAGACCTTCAGACGGGCAGGATCCATATGATGTGGGCTCTGAGTCAAGATGCTACATTGTTGTTGACTGCGGCGCAATGTTGCCTTTAAGGCATGTTCTTGCTACATGAACTGCCACCGATGCGATTTGTCGATCTGTAATTTCCAGTTTTGAGAATCCACAACAGAAAAACAACAATACTAAAGTTCCCCCTCCTCTCTGCCAATAACCCCCGCTCGCAATACAAATCCCGCTGTGTTGGGGAAGAGTGTTCAGTTACCACAGCCTCCTTAGCAATCGCAGGCTTTGTTCATCGATGGCTTTCTGAGATATGGTTTGCAGGGGATGTCCCAAGAAGTATGCAAAATCACATTTTATGTGAAGAAAAAGTTATCTTGCTTTTCCACTGAAGAACTAGGTGCCACATCTACAGATTCCACATCTGGCAAAATACAAAAAAAAGTATGGTTATAGAATCAAACTTGAAAAACATGGTTTATCAAATATTGAGAAAATGTCTCCAAAATGCTTGTTTACAAAACCTTGAACATTAGCTTTGTTCAATACTGATGTGCTAAAAGACTTGCAGTGTTGTCCAGTAACTACCGAACTAGAAATTCCATATTTGAGTCTTGATAATGGACCTAAAACTTGTTCCAACCTACCTTAAACTGCCGCATCTCACAACTTTTCTAACACTATCAGGTTGAGTAAGACGCAGTGTATGTCAATTATTCGATATAATGTTCAAATATATGCCCATACGACTACATGTATCTCATAAACAGTAACCTGCACTCAGACAGCAAGCAATAGTACAGAGGTGAGCCCTGAAATACTCAGCCTGCTGAGAGCTACTTCATGTTAAAAAATTAAAATGTGCAATAATTCCCGGAGCTTGCCATCGCGCCCTGGGCTCTCGGTCATTATACAGAGGTATTTGAATGTGTACACAATGTACACGGAATATTATTCGCGAATGACTGTACCTTAATCTTCATCTTGGGAAAAGCAAGCCTTTACAATTTGTTGATATTGCTCGCTGGCCAAATCTGGAGCACTACTCCACACAGAACGTTTAAAAACATTGCACTACGTCGTGCACGTACAGTAATTCGAGAAGGATGACTAAAATTAAAACGGCATATTTGCGATTAAACCTACAATCCTGATGACAATCAAATTATGCGGGTTGTTGTTTCACTCAGGCTGGTTACATTGTGCTGCCCTATAATGATAACTGCAGGTGTAACTGCATACAGTATAGAAAAATGCATTTTTAATGTACAGGAAAAAATAATTCATTCGGATAATTATCACCCAGAATAACAGGACTTCAGAACACACTTACAATGACACCTCTTCACTTCGCTGTTGCCCTCCGAGCTCGCTCTTTCGTCTCCCCGCCTCCCTCTGTTGTGTTTTAATTCACGGATTTTCTTTTTTAATGGGTTATTCGATGCATAGATTATATCCGAAATGATTCCGTTTCCCTCGCTATCTCGGAGTATTTGACAGCCCAGATCGTTATGACCCGAGTTCGCAATCTCGTTAATCCACAGGAGAAAAAGAAAAAAAATAGATGTTCCGGTTATTATTTTTCCAAACGTGTGCAGTACGCGGTCTTGATTTTTCCCCTCACTCTAGGGTTCGGGTGCTTGTTTCCTTTGTGCGTCTGTCAAATACAGACTAAACCAGCGCTGTGGTCCTTTCATCCAAAGCGTCTTAAAAATCCGTACACATGGACAGACAAACGAAGGTCGGGATACACCTGTATATCACGGCGGATCCTCAAAAACAGCAGCTCCAGCCCCTGAACTACTGTCCTGCAAGCCCGGCGCTAGCTCTACAGTATATTAGATACGCTCAGTCCAAGATCACACTACAGCTGGACAGAAACGCCAACTGGGATAAACCGATCACCGTGCTTGCTGTGTCGTTCTCAAAAATGTTCATTTTGATAGACGGGGAGTGTGTCCGCCGCGGAGTGTGTTCTCACTTCAAAGGAGAGGAAACGGCCCTTTCTCTCGACAGATAAATGATTCTCAAATGTGCTCAGTGTTGAGAACAGCAGTAAGCTGTTGCTCCGAATCGTGTCTCTGCGTGTCATTTACAGGGGATAACATTTAGAAATGAGCTGCCGTTCGCTCTAATTTTTTTTTAACCTATCACAAGTCTCGGGAAAGCCTGGGCATAGCACATTCTATCAACTGAAATCATATTTCGGATTAGGGATCGATATTATACGTCGAGACCTTATTATTCAAGGCTCTCGATGTTATTATTGTTGTTATTTATAATCATAACAATGTATCGCTTGGAACACCTTTCGGATGTACTGATTAGAACTGCTTTCACACGAAGCACTGCGAAAATGACGAGCTCTGTCCCGAAGTGTTTGGCAAAATACTGATGAGAATCCAAATGCGCTGAACGCAACCAAAACTAGTGATTGGTCGGGAAAGAAAGCAGCAGGAAGATATATTAAACACAGCGTTATAAATAAAGGTATCTCATCCGCTCACACCTGGTTCCACTTAACGTTTGATGTTAACTACAAACCGAAAGTTGCCAATATTAATACCACCACCACCCCTTTTTTTTAGGACTTTTTAGTACAAGTGAGCAAACAAAACCAAAACATCTCTTTCTCTTTTTTTTACCTCTTCGCAGTGGAAAAATAACGAGCCGTCTGCATCGTGTCCACCGGTATTGTTAATGGCTAAAGAAGACAACGGTACCCTCGGGTCTATCAACCGGCTTTGCTCCGAGCTGTTCGTGTCGCACTCGCTATTTCTGCGAAACTTCGTTCTGAGGATCGCCAGCCCGCGACTGGATGTGTTTGATGCACATTTCACCGACTCGCCAGCGGACATTCAAGTCACGATATGTAGACGTGAGATATCTAGCTCTGCAGACATTCGTCCACTAATGGAAATAGTCGCATATGTACCTGCCTGTAAGTTGGCACCTGTTTTTTTTTTTCGTTTTAATTCGAATAAACTGACTCGGAAATATTAAAACCCCGAACGCAATAAGAGCTCTCCTTTTCGCTACCCAATGTAACCCCCCCTCTCCTGAGACGCCACATTGATTGCTAATACAATCAACCGATGGAAGATTAAAAACAGCCGAAATGTTTTTTTCTGCCCTCTAGCGGATAGGACGACAATTACAGCTTCGCTTTTCCTTCCAATACTGCATGCTTGAAATCCTGCTTCCTTCCCTTGGTATTTTGTTAGTTAGTTCAATGTATTTTTTTTTTAGCCGTTTTCTATTTTTTTATATCCCCCCATATCCATGCATTCAGTATAAATTGGTGTGGACTGAGACAACATCAACAACAACAACAACAACAACAACAACAGATCAACAACAAATTTCAAAGGGAATCAAGAGCTCGTAAGGAAAAAAAAGTTTTTTTCAAAGTTTATTTCTGTTATTTTTAGATGCTTACTATTTTCTAAACGTACATGGGAAGTCACACAGTGGTTTTACATTTCTCTTGTAATACGTTCCACACAGTCACACAGTGACTTCTTACAAAACCTGTCTGAGCACTCTGCTGTTTCACATGTGGGTCTGAATTCAATCAACAGAGAAGGAAAGAAATTAAAACGACCCTGAATTCCAGACAGGCAATTAAAAATCTGTCATATAAATATTACTTTCACCATCTTTAGTTTTCTTTAAGAAGATGAGAAAGCTTGTTAACAAGAGAGGGTCATTCGGCCCATGAAGCCCTCTCGGCAGTCATTAGTTAATTGATCTGGTGATCTCTTCTGACTGTTTCTTAAAAGACACTCGTCTGTCAGCTTCCACAATAGGGCTGGGTAGCTTGTTTCGAACTCAACAATCCTTTAGATAGAGAAATGCCTCCTGTCCTCAATTTTAAGTGCACCCCTATATAGTCTGCATTTGTGCCCTATTGCCAAAACTTGGGGTCATTGGATCATGTCAGGAAGTCCATAGTAAGCAACCAATACCCCGTATGGGTCCAGTTCAATAAGCCTTGATCTTTGATCTCCAAAATAAATATATTTTTGCACAAGTGGTTCTATGCAGCATATACCTTTCTCAGGAATTTTGTTTCCCCCCACATGATCCAGCACTTTCCAGGCTCGAAGGATGGTTTTTAACCACGTGTCCTGCTGAGCAGGGTCTCCTGGGGGTTGTGGAGGGCTGTCTAGGTGTCCAGGTGTGACCCCAGACACAAAGAGCAAGCTTTCTCCCTAACTGCTCTGACAAATGAGATCAGCACTTCCAATACTTAGAGAGTGTGCTTGTGTGAAAAGGCCTAATGACTCCTAGGATCCTGAAGCTCGGGAGCTCATACTGTGATCGCTCAGCAGACAGGTAGATAAGATCCAGCTGTCCCTAGCAGCCGAATAGACAAACCTCTTATTCGCAACATTCGTTCTTGAATTTTCAATTAATTTTAAGCAACAACACCCATACTGTATGCCATCCCACTTCAGTAGAACATTTCAAGAGTCAAAAGAAGTCATCAAAATTCAGGAAACATGTGCATGCATCTCCAATATTCATACTAACCATTTCTTACTCTGGAAAGGCAATTTAAAACAAGAAGACTATTAAAATAAAGATGAAGTCTTCTCCAATTCCTCTGCATCTACTCAGAAAGTAGTAGTTTTGACTATAATGCACAAACTGGAAATTGACTCTCAGATTACACAACTTTGTGTAGCATGCTCCTATTTCACAAACCATGTTACACAGTAAGAATTATGAACAAGGTTACTTAGAACAGCTAACACAGGAGAATCAAGTGCCAGAAAGCCAGTCCCTTGCTTCAGCTCCTATGCTGTTCTGTTGTTCAGTGAACCACCTTCTAATTAAAAGGGACTGTGGCATGACATGTTTCTGATTAGCTTGTCTGAGGCGCAATGGGGAGGAGGCTTGTGGTGTAATATTCTAGAGGATTTGTTGCTTTGCAGTCAGCAAAGCAGCGCTCTCTGGGTTTGCGCCAGCTCGGCCTGTGGAGTGATTGATGGGTCACTTAACAATAAAGCATAAACATGATGGCAGGGCTGGGCTACGGGATGGCCGAGTGAGCAGAGGGGCTCCTCAGGAGCCTCCGTGGAATCAGAAATGTGCAGTAGAACGTTGAAATTATGCTTTGGAATTAAATGATTAAAATATCTTTGGCAGTTCTTAGGCTGGGCAACCTAATGTGGAGATCTTTCTTCTGCAGCTTTGAACTTCTGTGGGTCTTCCACAGGGCCACGTCCTTGGTGTGGAGAAAGGGGTGGCACATCCTTAATCTCTTTGGAGACTATGAGAAACTGAGCAGCAGTTATAATAGCACACCATGTTCAAAGAGCTGTGTGTAATTGATTATAATTAATTAATTACCTTCAGCTCCCCAGAATATAAAAGACATCCACCCCCCCAATCAACATTTTGTTTAAGCAAAACGTGTAGGAACCATGATGAGGTTTTAAGGAGAGAAGATTAGTATGAATGAAGGTAGATTTATAGAGAGCAGTAGTGCAAGTCATTGCAGGTCACAGCTGTAGTTGTATTATCCTAGTAAGAAGTCTAAAAGAATTATTGCATGCAACACTTTCCAGAGCAGGCAAAGTAACAATAAAGGAAAAAGAAATAAAATGAAATACAGAGTACGAAGACACTTGGAAATGAAATCTCTGCTGTAAATCCCTTCACCCTCTGATGAATCATCTCTGTACAGTACTTCTGATCTACACTTATGAGAGCTGACTGTGGCAGGTTTGCCTGGCATTTTTGCAGTTTTGTTATGGTTAAGCATACAGTTGCATTTCTCTGCCTCATTAAATGAATTGGTATAATGCATTATCATAGCCCTGTTTACTTTCTTTGGAGCACACTTTATTACATTTTTACTTAAGTATATACTGTCAAAGATTTCCAAGATTACATTGCAACAGTATGGTTTTCCTGTTAGCTTTAACCCTAACCCTAATCCAGAGCATCACTCCACTGATTCCTTCTACGTGAAGGTGACATAAAACCTTCAGTTTGTGAAAATAACTCCGTGAGATAACCATGCCTGTCCAGTGACGAAACACATACTGTTTAAACTGCGCTTACAGCATCAAGAAAAAGTGAACCCCTTAAGATTTTCACATACAGTATCCAAGTATCCATCCATTTTCTAACTGCTTTATCCAGTTCAGAGTCACTGGGCAGCCAGAGCCTATCCCAGCAGGGATGCCAGTCCATCACAGAGCAGTCCCACAGTCCCACACTCACTCAGACCAAGGCCAGTTTTCCCAGAAGCCAATTAACCTACTGCTACTGTATGTCTTTGGACAATAGGAGGAAACCTATAAGACCCCAAAACAGCATTTTAATATAATATATAAAAACCTAACAGAAAAGTAATTAACTATACATTTACTTCCTGAATCATTTATATTATTAATCAATGAATATAAAAATTCTGGTTTCATTTAAATTCAGGTAGAAATCAATGTAATTTCACTGCATATCTTCAATTAATATCTTTCTGTCATTGTATATTACTATTTTACATTGAGTTTTGTTTGCATTCCAAATTATAGGAGTTATTTGACTGCTTATTTAAAGATTTATTAAGTAAAAGCACATTTTGCTCAGAATATCAGGTAATTTAAATCATATGTAAAGCATATTCCTCTAGTGCAATAAAGCATTGCATCATTCCTAGGTTCATAAATAATACAAACATTTATGTATCGATGTCTTAAAAAATACCTTCCATAATTTACATGTTCTAAATCACAGGGAACTATTTTATGAGCCAAAATCCTCCACTGACGCGCTCAGTGGTTCAAGAGTATAATTTAACATCATTTGAAATGTTAAATTTATTCATAACATTTTTTACATTTTAGAATCTAGCCTTTCAATCCTCCTGGATTATTTTAGTTTTTTAAACTGCGAGGAATGTCAGTAAACTGTTGAAAAATGTTTTGCAGTACTTAGAACAAGTTTGTGAACTCCAACGATAAATGGGTATTTCATAGTTTTACTTTCATGGCCTTCTTGAATCAAAACCACTGGCGCTTCGTTCAGCTGTGGAACTGGGGTGCTGTCTGTGAGGAGTTTGTATGTTC